AAAATATTTGTTTATAAGTAGCCTGTTTGAGTTTTATGTTATGTGTTCACTTAATTATTTGTTTTTTGAATATGGTAAATATTATTACAACTTAAACACTGTAAGAATTGTCACTACTGGTTATTATTTCTCTGACAAATAGCAAAGAATTGTATATGGATTTGACTTGTAACAATACAACTTCACACTTTTCACACTAAGTTTTAAAGACTTTTACATTAGGGGCACTGAGAAARTTAGCTGCTGTATTTAGTGTCACAACTAAATTAGAATTAGGTGTTTCACATTTATTGTTTTTGCACAGACTTCATGGTACATTTTTGAAAGTAATTTTGTTTCCTAGCTTCCTATATTAAATGTTAAACAAATTATGTCCTAAATATCAAATGTTATGCTAACTAATGAAACTCTTTGGAATTTTCTGATTATGTGTACCAAACTTTGAATGGTAAATCAACCTCTCAGCATTTAAATCATTCTTTTTCTCTTTTCTTTTGTTTCCTTTTATTTTTAAACTTAATGGTATATTTAAAGTTCTCTTTCTGAGAAATTCACAAGCACTGCCAGTCTTAGCTGTCCTCAAAGGGCCATACCCAAGTACCCTACCCCAACTCCAGAAGAAATGAACTCAAAGCCACTGAAATGATAAAATTTCACAGGGAGTTTTCTTACAGAGGTAGAGAAAAACAACTTTTTTTTGTTGTGGAAACCATGAATCTTTTAAAACACAACTCTGCGAAGTCAACTTCAGATCTGCATTTCTAAATGTGTGTATCCTTTCCCAATCTGACAGCATTAGCAAACACCTCCAACAGCTCATTTTAGCCCTATTTGAAATGCTTTTCAAACTCTCTTTTTGTGTTCCAAAATATTTGTCATTTTCCATAGGCCTCTGAATTTTTTGTGTCCTTCCTCTCTTCCTGGAAAAAGTGGGTCTGTTGAACCTTTTCTATACAACTCCAGCTGTGCCTCTGTCAGGATTATCTTTATTTCTTCCAGTCTAGTGGTTTCTTTCCCAAATTCCGCTTTGATTTAGAGATTCCTCATATCACATATTTTAGCTCGATCCCTCTGTATTTTAATCTGTTATTTTTTTCAGAATATTTTTTTAAATTGTGTGTCTGTCTTATTTACATTCTATAATTTTTATCCATGAATTTTACAGTTTTTAGGAAACAATTATTTACAGGTCCTCATTCTTCTTGGCATGATAAACTGAGCAATTTCTCATTTATTTATTTTTATAATCAATTCTTTCGTTTATACTTTTTTCTTGAACATTTTGAGACATAGATTACTCTCTTCAAAAAGCTATGATAAGGCTTGGGAGGCTGAGGCAGGAAGATCATAAGGTCAAAGCCAGCCTCAGCAATGGTGAGGCACTAAGCAACTCAGTGAGACTCTGTCTTTAAGTGCCCCTGAGTTCAATCTCCATTAAACCCCACTCCTCCCCCACAAAAATAGCTATAAAAAGCCAGCTATGGTGCCACATGGCTATAATCCCAGCAGCTCAAGAGACTGAGACAAGAGGATTACAAGTTCAAATGCAGCCTTGACAACTTTGGGATGTTGTAAGCAACTTACTGAGACTCTGCCTCAAAATTTAAAAAAAAAAAAAAATGAAGTAGACTGGTAATGACGTCACTCAGTGGTTAAGCACCCTTGAGTTCAGTAACTGGTAATGACAACAACAACAAATAGCTGTAATAAGTTCTTGGGTTTAAAAGAACAAGTCGAATAATATATTTCATAAAATTTGGATAGTAATTAAAGAATTGATGTTCATGTATGATTGGTGCAGTTGGCTTCATTATATGAAAATTCCATTAAGCATAGGCATAGACAAGATGTTATAAGTTGATAAATACTTAATTTTCCACCAATGTATAAATTTTAGACAAAAATAATTTTTTTTGACAAAACAGATTAGAAATTTGTATATATATATATATATATATATATATATATATATRTGACAAATAAAACTGTGGAGTTTATTAGTTATATGTATTTGTCCTTTGGCATCAGTAGGAGATTAGACCCCCCCACACAAATATTGAAATGTTTAGTACTAAAGTTGTTTAGATGAAGTGGCATTATTTATACAAATAGTCTATACAGATTTTCCTGTACACTTAACATCATCTCTAGATTGCTTTAATACATAATACCATGTAAACACTACATAAATGGTTCTCATATTTTTTAGGGAAGAATGACAAGAAAAAAATGTCTGTAAGTGTTCAATACAGATGAAATTTCTTTTTCCAAATATTATTTATCTGAGATTATTTGACTCCACATATGGGGAACCCACAGATAAAATAGGTCCACAGCATGCCTTACATTATATAATATATAATGGTTACATTTGTGTTAATATTCTCAAAATTACTCCACTTGGGCTAACTTAGACTAGAATATAAAAAGAAAAATAATCCCAGGAAAAATTAAAGCTGTTTAGCAAATTATTACCCAAACGCAGGTGGAAATTTTCCAAAAATAATAGTAGAAATAATGGGAAAATATGGTTGATGTTGACTTCCAATAAAATAAACAAAACATACTAGAAAAATATGCTGACTTCATTCACTTGTTTATTCATTCACTAATTCAACAGCATTTTTTTGTGTATTGATTTACCTAAAATTGCTATGCACTAAAAAAGAAACATAGGTAAAATATGACTTTAGCCTTCAAGCTGACATATCTAGAAAGGAAAGCAAACATATCCATAAAGAAGTGCTACATACACTAAGTGTTCTAACAAATTTATAAACTAAGTACATTGATGAAAATCACCATGCACAGATACAGGGAACTGCTTCATGAACTTTGGTCCCTTTAAAGGCAGGAGTAATTGGTAGGGGATTATGAACTTATAAATGCAAAAAAGCATCAGTTATTTTTTTTTGTTTTTAATTTCCATGCACTTATCCTCTCCTTGGCTTTTGCTGTTAACAACATCAAAAACAGTACTGATTATAGTCATTATATCAATTGTTAAAACTTTCTATATAATTAGTACTTTTAGTATATTCATTCATCTGATCTTCAAAACAATCCTATGTTTATTATTTCCTTTAATTTATAGATAAAGGAGCTGCAACATGAATAGGGTAAGTAACTTACCTGAAATATTAATCTAGTGAATGACAGAGAGGATAGGAATCCAAAACTGTCTATCACAAAACCTTGCTTATACTAATATATAATAACTTGTTCCTATTAATGTCAAAAGAAGAAGAATTTGATACTGGAAAACCAGCTCCATCTGCTTCTATGAACAGTATCTAGAAAAAATAAAACAAATCTAGATGTTATTTGCCAAGGAATAGCAAGTATGTTTCCGTTTATTTTATTTCCTAAAAGTTAACACATACTACTTGTAAAATTTTAAATAATGCACCATACACATAATATATATTTTGTGAATGAGTATGTGTGTGGGGGTATGTGTGCATAATAATATTATATACCAAGGTTCCTGCTAATGAATAATTAGTTCATGAACAAGGGCTTAAAATATATGAATAGTCCCAAAGTTTCAATCTTAAATTCATGTGCATATGCAGATGCATGATAATTAGAAGCTGTTCTTCACATTCTTTAGGAGGATTAAAACAAAAGTAAGGTTTTAGCAACTTCAAAACAACCGTCGATGCATTGGAACTCAGAGGAGCCTCAGAGAAAAATGATTTACTTTAATTCCTCAGTAGTGAGAAGTATCTGCTTAGTATGTTAAAATTGCACACCAAGTCAAGGTGGTAGCCAAATGACTAATTATATCAATGGATCTCAGAATATTGGAGAATATTGGGTTGACTAGAACACTTAAGTCTAAGAAATTTGTTCAGTTTCTCTCCAGTGCAACACCATTAAATTTAATTACAAAGAGAAACTTATTTTTGTTATACAAATAATATCCCCACGTAGCCTAATTTAAACTAATTGCCTACACAGTTTTCATTCCAAGGGGAAAACTAAACTAAAATAAGTGCTGACTTATTGAAAATGTCTTTAATTATATTATCACATTGAATTTTTCTTTGACCCTGCTTCAAAAGTTACTTTTAAAATCAGAAATATTCCTGCAAATTGTGGATACCTGCAATTTGCAGAGCTTCACTCCTGCCTGACCTACTTTACTAGTCATTTTTACTTCTCATGTAAAAAATGGAATATCTCTGAATATCTACAAGGGGACATGAATAACCATGCTTTTTTTCTTCATTTTCATTTCTTGTTATCTTATTACTTGTTAGGAGGAGAAAACTCCCATCTGTGAACCTGGAGGTGAAAGAATGTCCATGTGTGACCTTGGGCATTGAGGAATTTTTATTTTATTTAATTTATTTATTTATTTATTTTTGCATATGAGGAGCCCAAAGAGCAGACGTATCAAGTACACCTTCTGCAGAATGCTATGGAATAGTAACACTGGAACAAAGGGCTGGGCTCCTGTTTTCTCTCACAGCATGGAAGAAATAAGATTTTTAATTGGATTCAATGATGGCCTCACCAGAGTCATGTCACCAGCTCTTACAGGGAGATAACTTTTAAATGACATCAGTCAGCCTGGCTGGAGGGCATCCCAACCCATCATTAACTCAAATCTTGATGACTGGCTAGGAGAAGAGCTCTTGAGACAACAATTGGACGGAGAAAACATTACCAACGCTGCATAGGAAGTTATGTCAAAAATTTTGTTGGCTTATTTCTCATTTCCTTTTGAACTCTGAGGTGGGAGAAAGGGGACACAGATTTTTACACTTCTGGTCCTGGTACAAGATACAGTTTGTTCAAAAGTAATTGTTTTAAAACTTGTGTAATAATCTAACATACTTCAGCCAATCCTGAATTTTTATTTCTCTAATCCCATGATGGGAGTATACAAGAGGGTGTAGTTTTTAGGAAACATAGCCCAGGACTTGGGTTGTGCTGTGTGAGCTCTGCTTGGCAATTGTGCTTCTTGAGTTTGCCTTTAAAAGTCAGTTTATGCACTTCAGCAGTGCAAAAGATAAAATTGAAATGATAGAGAAAAGATAAACATGGCCCCTGCACCAGGATGACCTGCAAATTCATGGAGTATTCATATTTAAAAACAAAAAGTCATCTTTCTCTTTTAGACTTCACTTCATAAAGGTATCATGAAACTCAGAATTAATAGGAATTATGTCCTATAAGCTTTTTATTTTGAAAGACCCAAATTTTAATTGTGCAATGGAGAAGGAGAGATTTCTCATCTTAAGTGATAACAGGAAAGTTTCTCAATCTCTATAACATGGACAGATTAGGTTAGATAATTATTTTCTCTAGAGAAGCTCTGTTCTGTGTTTCAGGATATTTTACAGCATCCTATGCCTCATCCTGCTCAGTGCCTGTGGAATCCCTCTTCAGTTGCACAACTCAGAAAAGAAAGAAGTCTCTAGACATTACAAAATATCCCTTGGGTTAAAATATGCCCTTAGTTGAGAACCAGGGAGATGGCATAAATCTATGAAACTGATTACTTTTCTGCCTTTTTCCAATCTACTTATTTATCTAACACGTGAAAAGGCCAAGTAAATGACATCTTCAGCATAAATATTCCCCACCAACACTCCTGACCTGTATGTTCTGTGTGGGGAATAAAAGAATGAATAAATCAAGCATTTACTTTGGATTGTGTTCAAAGAAAGAAGAAATCCACTCATAGAAAATGATGATCAGAAGGCAACATGTCCGTGATCTCAGCTAACTTGGAAGACTGAGGCAGGAAGTCCCCTTAGGAAACTTAGTTGGACACTATGTCAAAATTAAACATAAACTTTCTTTTCCTCTTCCTCTCTGGCTTCTGCGTATGAGAGAACACATGACCCTTGACCTTCCGAGTTCGACTTATTTCTCTTAATGTGATGAAGACCAACAGAGTTTTCAAAAAATCAACATTTACATTCTCCTCCTTTTCTCAGTCTTTATCAAAAAACACATGAAAATATTTTGCAGGGGAGTAAACATACACAAAAAGAAATTTTGCATTTTTCTATATAAGAAGTTTATAATTGCTTTGAAAATTAGGTAAAGATAAAGTTATTAATATTCTGGACTTTATTTTGCAAGTAGAGTTACTGTATTTTGTTGTTTCTTTGATTACCAGAGCCAAGATTCTTATTCATTTATTTATTTATTGGAATGAAGAATTGAAACTGGGGGCACTAAACCACTAAGCTATATCCCCAGCCCCCCCCCCACCCCCATTTAGAAATTTTGAGACATGGTCTTGCTAAGTTGCTTAGGGCCTCACTAAATTGCTAAGGCTGGCCTTGAACTTTTGATTTTCCTGCCTTATTCTCCCCAATTGCTGGAATTACAGGCATGCATCACCACATCCAGTTCCTAAAGATTAATTTTTTGATATGAAAACTCATGATCACAGTTGAGTACATGATCAAAACCTCATTCTAGTGTGCTCCTGAGACTGAAATATGACAAATAATTACAGCAGTCTCATTATGAATTTAGTCTAATAGAAATGACCACAGGTAAGAGAAATTCATTGGATTATTATACTCCTAAATTTTTATTTTGTAGAAAATTTGGCAGAAGAGAATGGTCATATGGTGTTAAACACTCTGTTCAATTTTGATAATAATTGCCACCTCGGCTTTTTGGCACTGTGATGTGAAAAGTTCTATTAAGGAGATTAAGCTTTACTAAAAGTATAGAGAAAGGCAATGTGCATAAATTTTCTAACTGACAGCTCTGCAGAATGATATTCAGTGTTTATCTCCAGAGAAAAGTAGAACAGAAAGTAGTGGAAGTATATTCCTTAAAGTGGCCCTGCCAATTCCAACCAGCTTGAATGACCTAGAAGCATGAGAAAGTACTTAGATCAGGATAAGCACTGAATCATTGTCTTAATATCAGATTTATGCCAATAAAATGATGTTTTTTGTGTAAAGATTCTTCTTACTTTTGTTTTATAGATAATGATATTGCTCCATGTACACAGAAGAAAAATGAGTTCTAATCATCATACTCTCCCTTGAATGAGCCACATACATTGTCTCATTGAACTTCCACTAATAGTGAACATTATGCCCCTAACAGAGATGAGAAAACTGAGGCATGGGATGTTTGTGAACATCTTCCCAAACTCAGAGAGTGCACTAAATAGGTGAACTAAGATTTCTTAAGCAAGATTGTCATCACCCCAAGACACATTGTTCCCTACAGTTTTCAAAAATATGATTTGAGCAGTCTGTACCTTTTATTTATCACTTGTCTAAACTGTAAACCTGCCCTTGTTCCCTTTATCCATCTGTATGTGAGATGGAAAGCTGAAGTAGAGACATCCTTATTACCTGAGGAGTTAAAGTAATTGCCATAGCTCCACTTAGAAAGCTTTTAGTGACACTGGTTGACCCAGGAAAGGATAGCTTTTAAACTGGGTAGTATTTTAAGTATTATGTTTCAGTTCCCATCACCTTTCAAAGACTATTAAATTGTTTTGTTATAATGGAAATTTACTATAATGAATATTCTGCTATGCTATATTTCCAATTTTTAAGAAATGGAAATGAAAGAAATCTGATGTGTAATTTATCTATTTTGTATGCACAAGGGCAAGAGGAGACTGGCAAGCCCATATCATTCCTGGCTACTTTATGTTATACTTTTTCAGCAGACCTTTTTTACATGATTTGCTTAGATGACTTATTTAATAATTAAGAAGGGAGTGTATTGGGGATGTATAAAGAATTTGAACTGAGAAACATTGAAAAGCTAACAAGATCCTGGCCTATGGTTAAAAGTGTGGGCATTGAGGTCAGAGGTTAGGTAGAGCTGAGTTCTATCTAACCTCTGACCTCAGATTGTTGTCTTAAAAATTACTGTTATAAATATGTGTTTATGGGTTTTAATGAAATAATTATGAATATGAAATACTTAGCTGAGGGCTTATCACATAGTACACATTCAATAAATGACATGAGGTGTTAAAACAGCAACTACAAAGCAAGTGTTGTTCATCTAGCTTTCCTCTCCTCTTCACCTCTAGCTACAGTGTGAAATGAGCATATTTCAAATTGGAAATGGCCTTAATAGAACATACGTAACTGCCATTCCTTGTATTTTTGTAACACTCTATTAACCAACTTCCTACTTCCTTTTCTTGCTCTACAGTTTCTCAACCAAGCAGCCAAAATGATCCTTCTAAACATAAATCAGGTTATGTCACACATCTACTCATACTGTCTGGATGCTTTCCTGTCTTATACATAGGAAAAACTAAAGTACACTATTGGCAGGAATGCAAAATGCATCTATATAGTGAAGCCATTATGGAAAACAGAATGGAGGTCCTGGGAAATATAAATTTACAAGACTACCATATGATTCCACAGCAACCCCTCATCTGAGTATTTTTATCAAAAAGAAATGAAATCAGAATCTTGAAAAGATATTAGTACTCTCCTGTTCACTGCAGCACTATTGACAATTGCCAAGATGTGGAAGCAGTCCAAATATCCATTCATAGATGAACAGATTTTTTAAAAAGTGTGATATGGATAAAATTAAATATTATTAATTTTTTTGTACCAGGAAATGAACTCAGGGACACTTAGTCACTAAGCCACATCTCCAGCCCTTTTTTTGTATTTTATTTAAAGAAAGGATCTCACTAAATTGCTTAGCACCTTGATTTTTGCTGAGGCTGGCTTTGAACTCCTGCCTCAGCCTCCCAAGCCACTGGGATTACAGGCATGTGCCACCATGCCGAGCTATATAAAATTAAATATTTTATTCAACCATAAAATGAAGGAAGTTCTGCCATCTGAGGCAATATAGATGAACTCTGAGGACATTATTCTCAAGTGGAATAAGTAAGCTACAGAAGGGCTAACACTGCATGAGTCCACTTACATGAAATATAATACAAACTCAAATTTCATAGAAACAGAAGAGAAAGATGGTTGCCAGGAATTGAGGGAAGGAGGAAAAAGGGGAGTTGATAATCAGTGGTATAGAAGTTATGCATGAGTGATAAACTCTGGAGGTTTTTGTATAATATTTTGCTTATAGATAAATAACACTGAATTATACACTTAAAAATCTGAAAGGATAGAGTTCTGGATCTCATATTGTGTTCTTACCACAATAACATTAAATAAAAAAGTAAACTAATAATCATTACAATTATTTTTGTGGTGTTGGGGAGTGAACCCAGGGCCTAGTGTATGCTAGGCAAGCATTCTACAACTGAGCAACATCCCCAGCTCATATTAATTATTTTTTAAAAATTACAATAGTCACCAGGGCTATTGCTACAACTATAGATTCCAATATTCCTTTGACCTTGAATCTCCTTCCTACTTTCTCACACTCTCTGAGCTTCATTTCAGCAGCCTTCTCCCTATTCTCCAACTGACCAGCTATACCTTAGGCTTCAGCAATCACTTTTCTCTCTGCTTAGAGGTTCTGTCCCAACGTTCTTGTGTCTTATTACCTGCTCAGCTGGAAAGTTTTATCAAATGCTACTTCTCAAAGAGGGCTACTTTCATTATTCTACTTACAAGTGCAAGCTAGGTCCCCACTCCCTCAATCCATGAACTTCTTGATATCCATGAAATAAAGTATTTATCTTTTCCCCACGGGCAATATCATAATCCCTGTAACTTTTATCATGTCATATCATGTATTTTGAATTTTTGTTGCTCTTGTTGCTACTATTATTATCTATCTCCGCCCGAGGGCTGAGGTTACAGAAGATATTCTAAAATCATGGTGGACTAGAGAAAAAATAAGAGGCAACATCTGGTCTTGCTCAAGCAATAGCAAATTTTCTCAACAAGAATATAGAATGACATGGATTTTTGACTTAGCAGTTTACAAACACAGAGCTGTTTGTGTGCTCTTTAGGCTCGGACCTGGTACCTCTTTTGTGAAGTAGCAGCTGAAGAGACTCTGGTGCATGCCATGGCTAACCAAAGGCCCAAGGAAAGAGTCAAGACTGAGAACCAGGATCATACATATTAACTTGAAGGTGGCGGTGGGGGCAGGATGGTTCTGTGGTGCAGTTTAAGATAAAGACCACTTAGTAAACTAATGAAAGCATATTG